ATTATTAAAAACGCGAATAGTACTTTTTCTCAAAAATTTTAAATGCATCACCCTGTATATTTGTGCAAGTTTGGAGTCAATTTATTGTAAGCTTTTTTTGTATAAGCTTTGATTCAGATAAAATCACTAGATTTTGAGTTATTAGGTTTTTAATGGAACAACACACCAGAATTAAGGGAAAAAATCACATCATCCATGGAAACAAAAAAGAAACAGTGGGCTAGTTTCATATTGCCACTAAGAGTATAAATTTGATGTAAAAACTAATAATGAGAACTGTATAAATCAGCTTCAAGCGTAATAGAGAAAAACAACAATAGCAACAACATAAACAAACAACTATCACTACTCAAGACCTAATCTACAAAGACTGCTCGAAAATATCTCCACCATGTTGAATACACAGCCGTAGTCTTCGGATAAATGACCGTTGCACATCCCTCAGCATGTATTCCCTCATGTTCAGAAAAACATCCTTAATAATTTCCTTCATATTTTCCGGGTAGATGGTGGATATCTATAAACCTCTTGCTTAATATAGCCCCATAGAAAGAAGTCCACACGTGGATGGGCCACCCTGTATATATATATAGATATATAAGCGAAAAGATCCCTATTTGAATCACGAAATCTCGGAACTAACCTATAAACATGACATCTGGTAGAGAGGTAGTTCATAAGATAAACGGATTTGTATGTAAGAGTGATAAGTTCCACATTAATTCCGAAATCTTGGAAACTATTTGACTTATGAACAATTTGGCTGGAAATAGTATTGCTTGCAATTTCCTAATATCTGAAAATTGGCTACGATGAGGTGCTATTTAGAGTAGACTTAAACTAAGAGTGAAATTATGTAATCGCAGCTTATATGTAGGTGACGCCATTAACAAAATAATCAGGTTGGCCAAGCATGCAAGTTGACTGTCAGATTAGTAACGGCAATGCTCCAAGACAATGTTATATGTCTACTTTAACGCAGAACTAGCCAAAGTTGTTTTTACGACTTCGCGCTAAAACGAACCATTACACAATTATAATGCGACTTCAAAATTTATTCTTAATCTTCGCGCAGAAGAGCAACATTTTTACTTTTATATATGATGCATGTCTTACTGTATCTTATTGTAGGTTTGAGGTGGAAAGTGTTGCGACCATGCGCTTATATAAAAATACTTAATACCAAATTATTAGAAAATGGATAGATGAATAAAAATGCCAAAATTGCGAACTTTGGTTACTTTAAAACCAAGCAACTATGTACTAAAATACAAAGAAATATGTTGATGGAATTAAACTTGAGTTTTACTCATTATGTCCTAAAAAATTAAATGCAAAAATTTCATTAACTCGGCGAACTTCACGGCCAAAGACCCCGTTTATAGACTGTGATCAGGTTTGTGTTACCTATGCTGTTAGTGTGTATCCACAAAATCTCTACTCAATATCTTAATGAACTCGCACTCCCAAGAAATATTCCCTTTGACTTCGAAATCATAGTTTCAGTATCCTATATCTGGAGGGCATTTCAAAACTCAGCTTCGTATAAATTCTTCGTGTTATTTTTGTTATCTACTTTCTGCATGTGGGCATTGAAATCACCGAGAAGAACTACCTCTGAAGCGGGGTGATTGATGTTTAGGAAGTCGATCTGGACGGCGAGGTATTCGAGTAGGCCATCCCAGTTATGGTTCGAGGGAGAGCTATTAAGGCAGCAAATAAATTTGGGTGATGTTTTGGAGTTGAGGAGAAGCCACAGAATGTCCTTCCGGTCTGATTCCAAAGAAAGATCCCTGGAGCAGAAAAGATTGCTGCGGACAAAAGCCACAACTCCCCCGTTCTTTCTCAGATTGGAGTGCACCTCGTAGTTTGGGAAGTTGAGATGGTGAATCGGTGCACTCTCTGAGATTTTTGTCTCCGCCAAGAAAAGCACGGCGGGACGATTGGATTGCAGGTAGTTATGAACAGCATCCATGTTGGTGTTAATCCCGCAGATGTTCGAAAAACAAATTTTATCTTCGATGTTGTTCCCTCGAGCCCACCCTCCACCCGAACATTCCGAGAGTGGAATGAGTTTACGCCTGGAGTTCTCGATGGATCCATCATCATTAATTTCTTTGTTTTGGAAGATAACCGACTGCACAGCTTAGGTGTGGAAACATGCGGACATTTATAAGATACCCTGGGAAAAGCTAGCGGGTGGTACCGGCTCGGTCGACTGGTCCTTGTCTACCACCTTCCTTTTACGATTTAGTGATATTAAATAGACCTAAAGTGGCCCGTTGGCGGACTTGTACCGCCACCCGGCAATCGATACTGAGGTATTCTTCAACGCGTGTACAACCACTTGGACGGGAAGAAGTTGTATACTGGATACAACAACTTCCGGAACAAGCATTTGCCACGGCCCTCGCTTAGTAGGGTCCATTGAAGTGACTTTTTATGTTTTCTTAAATCCAATGTTTGTTCTCTTATTTGGTCAGCTTGAACTATTTGTTGTCCAAATCCGGAATCAAACCCTCTAAAGTGGGTCCCCTACTATAAGAAGTCCGCTGCAGATCATACGGGAAAGACAGAGATATCAAAAATAATGTTTTAGTATATTGAGCTGCATTTCTTATTTGTTGCAGAAAATTTGAGATATTCTAAAAGCAGTTAGACTCAGGTATAGGATGAAAAATTGATTTATATGCAGACTATTCTATTCAAAATGAGCAGATTGGTATTTACTTCCGGTTCAAGCGGAAGTACCGCCATTTTGAAAATATTTAAGAAAAATTGTTGGCATTGGTTATTCTACATATGAACCTAAATGTTCACAATTGTCATACGACAACTGTTTAAGTAATCAGTCTCCGCTGTTCATAGGACATCATGAATGTAATGTAAACATGTAAGCATTATCACTGTCCTTTATTGATGTATGTGCGCCCTTGTCCCCTGTTTAGGTATCTCTTCCGCTCTAAATCACGTTTACCCTTCAAAGATTGCAAGCGACGGACGGGCGGCTATTTTCGAAACGGCCAAACAGGGATTTCGTGTGTAATAAATAAATCCGGATCCGCAATTCCTCTCGATAAAGTTCGGTGACCTAATTTGAAAATTGGCGAATTAACAACGGTCCGTTTGATAAAATCTTGGACGCTCACTCGCTTTGAACTCTATTGGATCCTTTAGAGTTGTCGATATCGAATAAGCTCGGATATTTCATGCTTCAAATGCTTAATTTTAGCAAATCTGCAGACGCTTCTTGAAGATCAGTGGTTCTACAGTAGTATGGTAGTAGTGGAGAGGCGAAGCCTGTCAACTAGGTGACCTTTGACCCGTATTGCCGACCACTTAGCACCAGCACTTCACTACAAGTCATCTTCTCGTTAACTAATTATGGAATTGACCACCTCTAGCGATGCGATGTACCTGTATTGACCTTGCACTGATCTGCGTGTTATAGAATACACACAACACAACACCCATGGCTTGGAATTAACTTTCGAGGCGGAGATTCAAACTTTGCAAGCCGACATGTCAGTAAACTAGTCCATTCAATATCTGTGGTACCCTCGAAAAGCTACCTGTGTTATTGAGTTTCCTGAATTCTCGAGCAACTCGTGCCAGATCTATCCCAGCATAAACCCCTGTCCTGCCCTGAAATTGACCATCTAAGGATCATGCTCACGATCAACATGACACCTCCCAACACCTTTCTTCAAGGTGTTTTAATGAAATATTTCTTTCAGTATACTGATTCTTAGACCTTTTGGTCTGAACACAATTAGCATATTCACCATTTTTGTGTCATATGACTGCTTTGGTTCCATAGACACATTTGTTCAAGAAGGCAAGAAATATAGCATAGACAAATCCACTGGGACCCATTTACCATTAATTTTGTGTCTGTTTTTTAATTTCTATACGAATCATCCAGGAGGTTCAAAGAGGTTGCCTAAAGTGATTTGATAAAGAGAATTCTTATGACAAATCATTACAGATTACAAAGAGCAGCTACTACTACTGCAAGGGCCTATTGGTGAGGGGCAATTACCGCTACCATGTGGACAGAGTTTGGACTAGAATAAAGTGAATCAATTCAGAAATATATACGAATTTCTTATGTAGCTTTCGAGTTAAAGACTCGGACAATACTGCTATATACGCAAAGCACCCAATAAAGTCACATTATGCTGTCATAACTCACCAAAAGGATCAAACGTTGCAAAATTGGGACATCGGCAAACTGGTATAGCCATCATAATTTTACTTTAATCTTCGATAACTGTAAATTCTGGAATTATTTGGCAATTAAAGGTTACGATTTGGAAAAAATGCTCACATGGCCAGTTATAGGGCCTAGTCACTAATGTTACTTGTGTATAGTCCTTGAAAGTGTGTATGTGGCTGTCTTTGAAAAATGCAATAAGTATAGGTATAAAAATGGACAAAAGGCTACTAGATGATAGAATATCTGGTCAATTTCGTATTTTATATAATTCAAATTTCTGTGGTCTACGCTCAAAGCGTATAATCCAAATGAGCTTTGATAAAATGTCCTTACTGTTTTATCTAAAAAAAAGTGTGATTACAATTATATAGAACTTATATTCTGGTATATTAATAGCATTTCTGCAAGTAAAACTCATGAGGCATGCTGTTGTAGGACCTGCTCAAAATACTACTTCCTCTTCCACCTAAGAAAAGTTGGCCTTCGATGACTATTTGTCAGGTACAGATAGGTTGAAGACATACCGCTTCTTTCATAATCATTATAACTATAAATGCTAATTTTGAGAAAAGATTATAGGCCATCATTATGTGTGAAGCTGAAAATACGAAATGCAAGTCTACCCATTGTCATCTACCGTCCTTTACTTAAGTAGAGTCATATTTAAGACTTGCCTCTCACCAATAACCTTCGAACTGAGCCGTTGTAAATACTGTTATAGAGCGAAAAATACGCAAATAGTTCAAGTTGTTGGAAACACCAATAATAAATAGGTCCGTACCTGAAATAACGTGTTTTCACCGATAGGCTGCAGTACCGAATTCCTACCACCCTTTCACCATGGCCTCTCACCCTTCCATGAAAGCAGATGCCTTCGCAGCATCTAAAAACTGTCATTAATACGTATTCCCTCAATATAGGCGAAGATCTCGATCACAATACTTCCTTTAAATATAACTTATCATATCATAAATCAAACACATTTAATTGGTACCCTTTTGCTGCTATTCCTCATATATATATACTTTGGACTTAAGCTAAAGTATTCATAATACTTATGTCCAGCCTTTTGGAAATGATACGCAGTTGCTGCATTATTTTAATCCAGATAGTGTCAATAAAACCACCCAAACTTTACAAAACGATGTTAGTAAAAAATTAAGCACTCTTCAGATCACAATCTACTTACCAATCCACAAAAATCTGATATGTTGAAGCAAAAAAGACTATGTAACACAGCTTTGGGCATTCAGATGAACAACCTAATCTTGAAATTTTCTTTTCATGCAAAAATTCTTGGTGTTCTTTTTAATACAAAATTAACGTACCCTTATAGCAAGCACGTATCTACTAAATTTTAAGGTACGTATAAGCCCATGTGATGTATTGGTCATATCTATACTAAATTATTGTAATATCGGATACCACATGTGTTCAGACAATTTTACCAAAAACGTTATTCAAGCTATCCTAAACAATTCTATACGCTTCATCTTTGGCTTAGGTATACACCAGGGAAATACCCCATTATAAACAGGTTAAAAATTAATTACTTGGTCAAGTATCACTATTCAGCTTGTTCACAAATTAACACTCACGCCAAAACTTTCTTACTTGAGGAAAAAAATTAATTCGATAATCATGTAGAAGAGGAAAAAATATTAAAATATTCCAGCATACGTCTGCACGCAGTTATTTCTATAATGCTGCTATTATTTATAATGACCGTCTCAAAGTATATAAAGAACTTTCGTTACCTGCCATTCGACAAAAAGTTAAAGCAATGCAACCCCCAAACATATAATTTTCGTAATCACACCTTTTTTTTCATCCCTTATTTATTCAGGTAAATGATTTTTAGTGTACCTACTTGGGGTCGGAAAGTATGCCTTTTCCTTTTTTACTTTTTTACGTTCGAAATATGTTTGAGAATGGTTTATTGTTGGAAACATCTACCATAGTTAAGTGTAAGAAAGAGTAGTATGCTGAACTTCGCACATTTGACTATACCACAATGTAATTGTAGATAAATAAAGGCTTCATCTATTATTATTAGGTATAATAGATACATCGTATTACCGAGATCAGAAGTTTCTCATCACCGGAACGTGGTTCCCTGATACCAAAGATGCAGCATTTACAATTCACAACTAACAACTGTCAGCCCTTCTGAAAAAAAAATGGCAAAATGGGCCGCAGTCTATATGTATTACGGTGAAAAGTAGCGCTTGACTGCCATCTTGAAATGCTTACCTCTACGTATATCCTAAAATTCAAGTATCAATCTTATCACCCCGAATCTCAGCTTGTCAACTTGACCCGTTTAAAAGATATACGTATGTATTATTTGTGTCTTTAAAAAACTGCAGCGCAGAAGCCGAAGATAAATAAACTTTCTTCTGCCGCTGTCAAGACTCAACATCCAATTTGCATCGTATATCAAACTTCGAACACACCAATCCTGTGGAGTAAGCACTTCAGTTAATATGGTACAATAATTACACGTGCTCAGGTAAACAACAGACATTCTTACCCAGACCTCCCGCCCCCCCATATAAATCTGCTAATTACACGATACAGTCCTCTGTAGGAGGCAGCCCTACCAGAAACAGCATAATTTCTCAAACACTCCGAGAAGCCTCGCAAATACAGTTGTACACAAACAAACCAAGTTGAAGCCTTGTAATGGGAGCGTACCGGTTAGCTTGAAGTTCCAGAATGTTTGACATACAGCAAGAGGGTTTAGTCTTACGTCACCCTATAGGTAGTCCGAACTTGAGATTAGCTGCTTCGGAATTTCGAGATAAACTTGACTAGCCGCCCATCGCGTGGACCCTTAGTGTATACGAGAGCCAATAGTGTATGCCCTAAAGGTCTTGGCACAAAGTTCATTGGCTTTAATTTTAACAAAACAAAATAATATCAAGTTACCCTTTAAAACGAAAGCTTGTTGACTTACATGTCTGTCAGTTGACATTTATTTATTTTGAAGTTTTCCGTTTACGATGTATAAATCAGAAGTAAGTATCTACAAGTTGGTTTGACGGGTACCCAAAGCTGAAATCTGACCAATATTCCAGGATCAAAAGGTTTCACGCAGAACCATTTATCGGTGTGCATACCATGTCTGAATCTCCCAAAAAGTGTTAATCTACTTGTATTTACTGCACAGAGGTCAGAGAGATTGGTGAGAAGAGCAAAAAATCAGGTTGGAATGTCAACAAGGAGACTAGCTCGTCAATACAGATCTTCGAAGAGTACGATGTCGTTGGAATTGAAGAGGAATGGTCTTAAATATCGAAAGAGACTTGGTGCCCCAAATACTCTCAAGCACATTTCCTGCGTATATCAAGATGCTATCGTCAACTGAGGCGGATATACTTTGCCAATGGAAAATCATTATTTTAGATGACTAAAAGTATTTGACTTTGAGTAATTCTGAAACGAAGGGAGTCGACAGATTTTATACGGACAACGTAGAGGAATGCCCTGACAATGTTGTGTACAAACATAAAGGGAAACTTGCAGATATAATCCATGTCTGGTGCGCAATTTCTAACAGGCCTGTATCCCAACCTTTTGTGGGAAGAGTGAGTTGTGAAGCTTGAAATAGTCAGAGCTACGTTAATAACTGCCTTTCCAAATTGCTTGCGTTTGTCCACGAACCATGCTAATCACCATATCATATTTTTGCCAGACCTATCATCATTTCATTGCTCAAGAGATACTCAAAACTGGCTTCGACAACAAAACAAACCGTTTGTTACCAAAAACGATAATGCCGCAAACTTGCCGCAGGTTCGCCTAATAGAGGATTTTTGGACTTTACTGTCTAGAAAGGTTTATCGTGGATGCTGGGTAGTTTTATTAAGATTGCCAATACTTTCCATAAGTATCGCGCACACACAGAGAATGTGTGTGCCAATCAGTGGTTCATACAAGTTACATTAGATGGCAATTTAACCGACAATCGATACGTTGATGCATATTTAAGGGCCGATTTCACAATCTAACAAATCATTATTTTGCACCAATAGGGTACGAGAACCAAACAGTTCGTCAAATATACCCAGTCAGCCTCCAGATCTCTCCGTCAAATTTTTGGCAGCAAATAGCACCAAAGTATTCAAAACAAAACACTGTAAAATACGAAGTGACAGCTGCCATTGAAATGTTTCCAGTTTATTAAATATTATGAAATTATATAAAACTGAGCCAACATTTAAAAAAAATGCTTGACGTGTGAGTAAAATCTATTTTTTTTAGTTTAGCTGAGGGTTTCTCCATGTTTACTGCAACTTTTGTAATCCATATGTGATTATATTAACTCAACATCACCTACCTTACGTTAGTAGTTTATCCTACTTGCACTTCCAAACCCTTACATGAAAAATTTCTGTTAGGTGTTGCGTTTCAACACATTCATACACTTCTTTCCAAATCCTCAACGACGTTTTTACACCTCTGGTCCGAATCTGTTTAAGATTTCAACCTTCATACAAACAATTGCAGTTGCAGTTTTTTGTTTTGATTCATCAACTATGACAGATACCTTGCGGCCAGAGAGAAAGTCAGACACCCATCTGCAAAGAATTTCTGGGAGGTCATGGGATAGAAGTTTACATAGGAGGGCAGCGTGCCACAGCTGATTGAACGCTTTCGTGATATCAAGACCAACGACATAAGCCTCACCATAATACTGGATTAGTTTACTCCACAATTGCGTGTCGTAAGCTAGGAGTTCCCCCTATGGATCTCTGGTGTCGGAAACCATACTGTCTGTCGCTAATCAGGCCGAGACGATAGAGATAGTCCAGAAGCTCGCCATTTATTCACCTCTCATCACCTTATTTATAACAGAAAGCAGAACTATAGGCCTGTAGTTGTAAGGTTCGGTTTTAGATCCTTTTTTGGAATAGGTTGGACATGAGCAAATTTACAGTTTTCTGGATTCATAAGATATCTGGAAGGGACGCGAAAGAACTGGAGCAAGCTCCGCTGCACACCTCTTCAGTACAACCAAGTCCGGACCAGAAGCTTTGTTGGAGGGCGTCCAAGGTGGGGTTGGCAGCAAAGATCTTGGCAAGCACTTCAGCCTTGGCCTTCGAGTCAGTTACAATCATTCCATCCTGACACGTAGGTGGTGGGAGGCTGCTGTGTGAGAAGTTCTTTTAAATCTGCTTGGCCAGCGTCCAGAAAGACCGACTGCCATTTGGCTGCGACATTACTTTGCCAAATCAGACATATCTTTCATTATATTATGCTATAAATCATGTCACAGTTTTTGTGCACTGATTGCAATGGTTAGATGATACCAAAAATATTTTCATAAATAGGAGTAAATTTTCATGAAAAATCCGCTGTACGTAGGTATATCAGAGCTTTCTTATATATGCTCATCAATTTGATGATACAACACATCTCAAAGATAATCATAATCAGGATAGTAAATTATGACGAAGGTCCACTGTATCTAAGAATTTTCAGATACTTCATTTGCAATTTGAAGATACAACAGGACATGATGTTGTTCAGACTTTTCAAATATTCTTCAAGAAGTGATATCAGTCTAGCTCCAACTATCATAAGTACTGTGTTTGTGTTCCTACTTTAAATTCAAAACCAGCAAATGTAAAAGATTCACTTCGCACCCTCCACCACGGGACGTGATCGTCGTTAGACTTGACAACCCTGCGAGTGACAGATAGATATCTCCGCCAGTCAAAAAGGCAATCAAACAATAAACATTGACTTTTGGACTTAAACGACATTATTTGTGAGAAAGTTTTCATAATTTTTTGTCTATTTAGACGGAGGTGTAGGATTTGCCACGTCTTTATTGCTTTGAAGAAATTCATTAACCCATAAATAAATAAATGATTACTATTATGATGTAAAGGAAGATGAGGAATTTGTTGGAATGTATTTTATATTCTATTTTCTTGCAAAATACAGACAAATTCACACTATTCAACAAGTATGTAGCTATAATGATAACATATAAATACTCAGTTTATTGAACTTTTCCGAGATTGCCATGAATTAACAATCGTCCAAACCTGCTGTTAAATGTAACATCTAGAAAATCGACCTATTATTTGCTGCATTCCCATTTATAATAGAAATGGAAATACATGAAAGTTGTCCTGTTTTCTCTGTACAAAAGCATCATGTTGGAATCAAAAAGTGGTCTCGTTCATAATACAGTCAAATTTTCACGATTTTATTCAATATTTTAATAGAAATCACTGATATTCAGAGACCTTTGACAGCTTCCGTCAAATTGAATTTCGATATCTATCGAGATATTATATCAGATTTCACCCACGATTCGGGTAGAGACCAAAGGCTCTTCTCCGATTGGCCAATTTTCCATGGAGTTTTAGGAAAACGTTTTCTAATTGATCATCGTTGATCCGGATCGTAGGCTTTTATCTGCGGATTAACTGAGAAAATATATTGTTGTTATCACCAGGTGATTTATTTATTTCTTGATTTGATATGGGGTTTTGAGGCCCTTCAGCACATCGTATATTTTGTCGCTGTTTTGATAGATATTTTAGAACTATTTTTGGGCCTAAGTGTGCTCAGGCTACAAGTGAGTTTTCCAATTAAAAATTTGACATTCTTAAACATAACCTTCTCCAGAACGTTTTGTCATTTGAGTACAATTTGTCAATTTTTGTGACTTATTACGATTTTCAACAGTGGGTCATCAAGGCAAGACTGCATCAATGAACTGACTTCGACTATTGGCGATGGATCCTCGTTCTCTGTCGCGGGGAAACGCTGGTGCAACGAATTTAAAGGTGACCGCCATTCTCTTGGCAACGAAATTCGTGAAGGTCGCCAAAAATCAAATCTTGTGTCAGAAAACAGTGATACTGTGCAAAAAATACTCCTGCAAAATCATCATGCAACATATTGTGAGATTGTGGCAGCTTTTGCCATTTGTTTCAATAGCATACATGATATACTACATAATCATTTTGCTGTGAAAATGCTTTGTTCTCGTTGCATCCCACATAATTTGACAAAAGCTCAAAAAGAGGCTCGTATCGATTGGTGCACATAGATGCTCAAAAAATACAACGGCGGTGGTTCTAAAGCCGCGATGAGTCATGGATACATACGTATGAGCCGGAAAGAAAACATCAGTCGAATATA